TTATATGTGTATATGCTCATTTTTTTCTTCCGCGCTACTACGCCATATATATATATACATGTATATATTTAACAAGAAAGGTGCCAGAAAGGGAAGAATACTAACATGTAACCCAGATTCTGTCAAGCGTGCTCTGGCCTTTGGAACTTTGGCTAAGATTAACGTAAATTATTGGTAAAGCAAAAAGTCAACCAATGCTTCGCTAGGGACTCACTTTCAAGTTCGAAACGGCTCTTGCTTAGCATTTGTGCAGAACACGATACTCGTTCATGCAGCCATGTTTACCAATTTCCTAAAATAACCTACACAATTACGGCGTTCACTTAAATAACATGTCTTGTCGGCCCGAGTGGGCGCATGTTATGAGCTCGTAACTGAATATCGCAATTGATAATAGCACAACCTGGCTGAATAATCGAGCCTTATAATTCGGCATCACTTCGATGAATTTTACCGGTCCGGTGGATCCGGTACGAACTACTGGGGTGACCGAAAACTGGTCCACAAACCAGTTTAATGGTTGATAATATTATAACAAATGCATCAGGTTGGCTAATTAGACACGTTTAAAGGTTGTTTTTGTGGACCGAGGGGCACAGGTGCGAGTTACGTCTAAGTAAAACATGCTAATTAGCTGTCCATTGCCCACCTGCACAGAACTTCTCATAATTAACATCTTGGAAAACTAAAACCGTTTAGTCAATTTATCAAAAATTATGATATTAACAAGGCACATTCACAATCTCTATTTTGAAAGAGGAGTCACAGGCACATAGAATTAGTTTTGTTCTTTCACATATTCTCGTCTCAATCTAATTGAAGTCGAAAAGTATGTTCCTGAAAGAACTGCAGCAGTGGCTAAATCGTGGCGGTAAGATGCTGCAAGAGGTACTATTACTTTGTACTTATTGACTTCGTGTTTGCTAATCAATATCAATTGGGTAGGTCCAGAGATTCATAAAATGGACTAGTCCTGGAAATATCTTACACTCATACTCGCGTTGTGATCTTTCCTTCGTCCTCTATCGATTAATATCTTCTGGACAAGGACAAAACCATCTGGACAAGAAAGTCCTACAATATAAATGATGTAATACACCTGCTCGCCGTCGCAGCTGAAGAGAGGAGTTACATGGACGCTTCATGGCAATTATATCTAATCTTATTGTATATTTAACACTCGTTCGTCGAACCGTTGCGCTAACTTGAATCCCACCTTCTATCTATGTTGTGTCTATATATATATATATATATATATATATATATATATATATATATATAGTTGCCTTTGTTTAAGGTTCTATGAAATAGAAGACAATTGATTAACACCAATAATTCCGTGACAGGCCTTCAACTTTTAATCGAAGCGTTCCAGTAGAGTCAAATCACTTAGCTACGACCTTGAAGCGCAACTTCGTTTACATTTTGAGCTACTTTTCTGATTTACGGTAGATAATCCGGTAGGAAAAGCTTCCTCTTGTGTATAAAAGCAAAAGGAATTAATATTGCTTATCTCACTTATTTTAGCCTTACATGGTGAGTCGCATGGCTTTTTTGTTCTATAGCATTGCTGAGCTGCCCAGGAACGCGGTGAACAGAACAGATATCGACCCAATTTACTAATAGCTAGAAAATTATACTTACCGATGGCTTTCTCGGTCCATCAGAACGGTCGGTCAGAACGAAATCTTATTTTATAGCTAAATTGTGTCGAACACCTGGTAAACGCGTCAGTGACTTGCTAGCTTTCGTGTTTGATCTAGTTTCTTCCATTCACCTAGTTCACGAAAATGATAAAATTGGCAACGTCCGATCGCTCAAAATTTGTACCAACGGTCCCTGTTGTGAATCTCTTAAAATGCAACTTGTTATGCACGCACAGCTAATGGAAGCCGGGTGACCAATGCGCCAACTCGTATCAGCTGTCTAATACAGTACGCCAATGCGCGGTCGGCCTAAATTTTCATATTGACAAAATTTGCCCCCTTCTAGCTAGCGAGAATGAAGATCGCCGCTCAGAGGGTACTTCCCCACTCGCGCAGCCCCTTCCTCTCTACTTTGAACGCGCTACCATAGCAATCCAGCAACACAGAAAATGGCCTACTCTTTGCTGTACTAATGGGACAGGTGGCTCCACCTGGAGGATGCACCGCTCTAAGGAACATAATTCGGTATTTTGTCTTCCCATTTTAACCTGTAGCTGACAAACTAGACGATAAAGGAAGCAGTATGGCAACTTCTTTACGCAAAACTCACTGTTGGGTAGTTTAATACACATCAGAATAAATTTTAACGTATCGAAGAGAAAAAAGGTGTACATAGGAACCTTCTACGAATAGATTGAACAAACTTTCTCATGTAATACCAAGACAAATATAATCATCTCCAAATAAAATGCAGAAATTATGGCTCGGGATCTGCCTGCCTGTTATGGTAAAATAAAAGCTAACATAGAGCTTTTTTTCTATTAACCCATGCGATAACGCGAAGAGGTCGGAACACTAAACGTTACATTTGAAAAGTTACCCATAATTAGCAGCTTAGGTTCGATGCCACTTTTCAGTGCTGTGTACTTAGCCTCTGAATTGATTGGCGTAATAATAACAACTTTTTAAGAAAAAGGATAACCCCATCTTATTTACGAGCAAAATATCCCTTAACGAATAGATATAACTGATTGGGTCGTGCATACGTCCAACAATAGTAAAGAACTTCGCTGTATCTGGTAACTTACGAACCCAGCGTTATTTGGAACAGAACAAAATGTACGGCAACTAATAAAGGAAGTTGTCACTAATAGCTAATGGACGGTTAAAAAGCTCAGAAGTCACAAGTAGCTGACTGAATAGACGTGTGAATATTACACAGTTCGCCGAGCGTCCAGGCCTGATTCTAGTACATTCAGTCTGCACTGACCGACATATTTTTGCTACTTAGATTTTACACTATATGCGAATGTAAAGGTCTGTGAAGAATAATAAGGCCTTGGTTATTTTGACATCGGTAGTTTCGTCTGGCTGGGTGGTGCACAGTCTAACCTGATTCAATGTTGTATTCGCTTTGTTATGAAAGAAACTTATCTAGGCTAGCAACGTATAGATGCCCTGTCATTGCTATAGACTGGATCTTTGAAAATGGCTTTTTGGTAATGCACTAATGTATGCTGAAATTTGTTGCATTTATGGCTACGAGTGATCATGGTGGATTCGATACCGGGAGAGTTTCCGTGATGATAGGCACTGATGAGATCCGTTATCTTGTTACTAGCTCAGCAGATGTTGAATAAGCCTGTACGGGCGGGGTGGATTGTAATCATTGCCCGAATGGTCATCCTGGACACGGCTAGACGGACGGTTACGCTTTTGAACTATGAGGTTACATCTGTGTGGGGGCATTAGCCCTCAACACTGTGATTGTGTGTGTATGATCACTTCGTTGTCGATCTCAAACGGTGCGCTGTCGCGTGTACAATGTACCGAATATGCAAGAAACAAACAATAGTGATTGAATTTGCTTGGCTATGACATATCCGCATGTGAGTAAAAACGCAGTCTTTTTTAACTCTGTAAAGTAGCATGTTGAATATGTCCGTTGAAAATTTTTTCCAGCGTTTCCATCTACGCAGAAACTACCGGGACTACAGGACTGTACCCATTACGTGCGGGGGCATCCAAACGCTGTGCTGTTTGTTGATTTTACACTCATCTAGATGCTAGATACGAGAATATAACAAACCCTTATATCATGAATTGAGGCAGTGATTTCTTTACGCCACTATTAGAGCCACAACAATTCTTAGAAAGCAAAAATTCAGCTATACCCTTATAATTAGGTAAATAGAGTCGCTTCATTTCAATGTTCTATATTTCCAGCAAACAGGCCTATGAGTTTAGCGTTTCAGAGGTGCCAAGACAGTGTGTGACTACTAACATTATGCTAACCAGCACATCAATTAAACTATAATTCCTTGGGGTTTGTAAAGTTAAAAAAACCTTCTAACTTAACGAAAACAATTGCGTTTAGTATTTCTGCCCTTCGTCGGAACCGGTCATTCAATGCTACGTAACAGATTAATAAATGGTAAATCATAATTTTTTGTATATAATACATGCTAGGAAATACACTCGAAGCCTTTGATTGAATCAAAACAGCTTGAAAAATAACCGTAAACGCATACAATACCAATAATACAAAAATGATGTTAGAAAATAGACTTCGTATCTTATTTGTTTTGTACTATATCGAGTAGTCATTTCAGGGTAATTTCACAGGGTTAGAGTCAGAAAAATTCAAGATTATTTTTACCGTTCTGTATACTGGAGGCCTAACAGAAGGTACCCGTGTAGCACCGGGTCGAAGTCACCTGCATACATGTTATACCAGCTTAAATTGTACTCACATCTGACAAGTCGTGTTCCATTCATATTTGAAGATGTATGCTAGAAATTTATCGGGAGTAGTCGTCCGGTGAATTTTACTAAATAACATCGGCCTAGGTCGCAGCAACGCGTAGGCTGTTGTTGCTGAATTAAACGCGGTACTACTTTTCATATAATTATTATATTTGTATCGGTAATAGTTAGAGATACTGATGTTATTCTACCCTGGGGCGAGACTCCGTGCGATGTCCGGTAACCCGGTAATGACTTTAACCTACCTGCTTCCTGAAAATCATCACCTAACAAAACAAAAGGTTCTTAAGTATAGGTGAGTAGGTAGGACGCCTCCTTCATTACTGTTTCTATTATTTGCCCATGTGTGTACACTTATAAGGTTTACATTAAGGCCACGCAATAATCCGATTTCAATACAGACTATTGCGGCGTGACGATAGTGAAAATAACTGAAAATTAGGCAACGCCCCAATTAAAGGCATCGCCAAGTGGCTAACGGTGCTTTCTGACTAACCTGTATGCACTGGCAAGTATAATTCTTTACCATGAAACTAAATAATCCTGCTAACTGTCTACCGTTGCCATTTCCTTTACAAAAGGGCAGTGGATATCGCGAATGACGATGGATCGGATCCCATTGTAGAGTTGAAGCAGATTGAACCCCAACGTGGAAATGTGGCAAAGGCGTTTGTGCCATACAACACCTCCTTCGAGCTGAATCATGTGAGCTATACGCTTGCTATATTGTTACCTTCAAGGCATAGAGAAATGTTGAATACTCGTACCTTATAACCAAATTTTACTTCACGTTTAATGGCGCAATACTCTACAAACGACCAGTAGGCTAGTCCTCCAGACTAATATGTCAAAAAAGGACAACTTAATTTTATTACGCTATCGCAATATGCAGGTGATTATCAAGGACACACAATTTCGTCACAGAAATTTTGTTTAGTTGTGATCCCAAAGATGCAGGAAGTGGTATTTGCCGGGCGAATTAATAAACGTTTAGATTCGATGAAAAACTGCAATTGAGCTAGTAGCATAAGATTTAGATTTGTCGGGTTGATGTTTTTTCTGAATAAACATCACTTGTGCGCTTCATGTTTTGCCCAAACTGTGTAGTTTGCTTAACTGTCTTTTTTCTGGCTTGTTTTTATTTCGGGTTCGTCCTATTCGATGCTCAATTTTCCTCTCTCTTGAAGAAGACGCAATCCCATAACGTATTTACGTCTTTTCATATACGATAATAAAGCTTAGTTCGTTCGTTATAGTCCAATCGGCTTGAATATTACCGCTGCATGTAAGCGTAAATGAGCACGCTCATGTCTTAGCGCACCGAACTTGTATGAATAGAAATTGTATTAATTTCTATATCCGCCTTGTTATATGACGTAATTGAATGAAGTGACCTTATTAGAGCTTCACGCTATTCATTGATTTACTAAACGCGCGTGATGTCGACTGTCAGTCTGAGTGCGTTCTGTATTCGACTTCAACGACGGAGGAGACTGCGATCTTGAGGGTACCGTCTGCAGCATTGACATGATCCACGACGAGGTTCGTCAACAAGTCTGCAATAATGCTTGTATTAGCTAGAGGCACATGATGTCATTTTTCATCACCAGTCATTCGGTGCTTTGCTCAGCTTTAATTTTTTTTCTCACATTAAACGACTGTAAAAACAACAGTTTGTGGAACGAGCTAGTATGCGGGACGGGAACCAGTAGAATTTTCATTTGTCGGTAGCACAGGCTTTACACAGGTGTTTATCCTTTAACTATGAGGATCTAGCCACTTTGTAATGAATAATAAGTGGTTGTCTTCCATGATCGTTTCCGAAACGTATGTTGTTTGTTCTCCAATATTTATATATTCCATAAAATCTTTGAAGGCGCTAGTGAAGATCACGTTACTGCTTGTAGTCATGAATCCTCTTCTAGCGTTTCTCAGCACTGTTTATTCAGTCACGACGCGTGCAATCATTATTCCTTATTTTTGCGAGCACAAAACACATCTCACCCAGCAGATTTTTCTTATTCTATGAAACTAACTGATTCCCGCGCCGAGCTGGTTCATAGCAATTCAAACGGTTACATTTTTCGGGAGCTGTCTGCCGTATTTGTAAATAGTTCAAATGTAAATAGTACGTGCACTATGCGACATAGCTTGCGTACACCTAGTATAGACTTAGTGAAACCAAAAATCCGTACTTTAGGCGGAGCGTAATTATGACGGCGAAGGTTGCTGTATCGGATCTTCTGATCAACGAACAAACAGCTTTACCTCAATCCGGCTTCACCGCATCGTCGTCGCTACATGACCGTTGAGAATCTCAAGGACTATCACTAATCGGGATAGCATGAATGTTATGTTTGCCGAATGGACCAATTCGTATCTCATCGGATTGGTCACATTTTCGTAGGACACTGAGAATGCTATGGAAGTCCAAGGTCTGTATGGAGAACACAATACAGGCATGCAGTGCACGTCTCGCCTTCGCCTATTCAGTACTGATGCTTTTTTTGCTTTTAGAATAATGGTACAGCTGAGCGTCGAAAGAGATCGATCTCGAAGTTAATGGATTGTGTGTACATTGAACGACATTGATAATAGATACATCGACTGACCATGACAGCTGCTTGGCTAACAAGAAACCCTTTGGCAAAATTAAGTTAACCAAAAATATTACAATTTTAGGCTGTGTGGTGATGGAGCCTCGGGAGTATGGCACTCCAGGCCATTCTGCTACCCTGATGCATGACGTAGGAGCTTATCAGCGTCTTGTTTCGAGGCTAGAAAAGAAAAAAAAAATTATAAATATATGGCTGATTGAACGTGTGTCCTTGGCTCACAGTTCAAATTAGGCCTCTCTTAACGTACTACAGGTGTTCATTTTATGAACCAAAGCGTATGGTAGCAATACGATTCGGGTACTTCGGCTGTGCTGTTACCATCACCCCGAAACTGTGCTATAAAAGTGGTATCAAGGACGGCGGAAAGCTGACGTTTGACAGCCTAAAATCTCACACTCTCCAACAAACAGCAGAAATCAAATAGACGATAAATGTAGACAAACAAAACGGCGTAGAAATTACAGTCAACTTATGAGAATAACTTAAGCCTGCTATCGTCTACGTCGAGTCATCGTGGTTCGTACAGGTCGGTCGTGTCTTGGGACTGTGGCACGGTATCTTGGAAGCTTCTGTTACGAATGGTCAGCCTCGTTGACGACAGGCGATCTCTGCTCGGACATTTCACCGACGCCCAGTCAGATGTCCTGCTCTAACGCCCGGCCACAATCCAACTGTGGTCGTCTGCAGATATTTCCACACGCGCCAATTTCGGACTACATGAGCTGCACATGTGGTGATTGTATGGACCGTTTTTCTCCGCAGCGAACCGCTCGTATGCACTGTTACATCAGTGGATTTCGATAATCAACGGGGCCATCGATCTTATGATGGGTAGAGCCATCGCACGGGTCCGCTTCCATCGTCGCCCGAAGCCAAACATGAATGATAGTATCATTCTGATTGCTATTCTTATTTTATGTACCTAACGTATTCTATTTAACAGAACGGCAGATGCCGTGTCAAGATAAAATAACCAAGAAAACGTTTTTGCAAACTGTAGTTTGTTGAGTGTTCAGCACGATAATTTACTTCTATTTGCATAATGTTCGTTGGCTAACAGGTAATTCCAATAACCTCTGTGCCATTTCATTGGGCCCACGTTGCAGATTCTACAATGAAGTGGCGTGTCGATAATGGACAAAGGTCAGCGCTGCTGATATATCTACAGATGGGTCTGTTGTGCCTCTCTGGAAGACCGAGGCAAGCGTACAGGGTAATGAAAGTGACAAAGATATAATCTTCTTCGTAAAGAAACGCGTTATTGCAGCTGACAAAAGGATGCGGGAGGTAAGATTGCCACCAAATGCAAACACATTCATGATAGTACACCGTATCACAATCGACTTTTTATTATGGACAAAATCGAGGTAGACTAATAGGTGTAAAGTATATCTTGAGATGTAAAAAGAGACCTTTTGGTTCTCGTAAGATATAACTTACATAGAAGACAAGCCATTATTAGTTATCTTCATTCAAGATAATATGATATGATCAGATACAGGGTCTGTGAGTGAGTTTCTGATTTTGATCGATGTTTGTCCACTCGAAACACAAGAACAAATTTTATGACGTAACAGATTGTGACTCGCGTAGTACGGCATCCGTTGATCGTTTAAGGAACGCTGGCCAAAGGATTATCTAGACGCCACCGGTCCAAGGAACAACGACCGTTATTGCAGAGGGACTGTGCCGAAATGAAAGACGGCGATCGGTTTCCATGATCGGTAGTTTTGGCAGGTAACCGCTAATAAATACCCTGTTTATCCTGTCAAGGATGAGTAAGTGCTGCGTTTACTTCATTTACGGTTACAGTATGAACTAAATAGAGTGCTAATTCCTTCATATCTGAGTACCATTGGGGTGTGCAAACAACTCTGATCAAGGGGTGAGTTGAGCGATGGATCGCAACTTGATAGACAATGATTAGATCTTCGAGTTGATTATTCGTTTGAACTAAACCGGGCTACGCATGGCAAGCATCTTTAACTAACTTTATCTGAGGCGACAAGGCCTCTGGAGACAATGATCGAAATGTTCACTTTATTAGATTATTAATTAAATTTATGATATTTTATTTTTAAATGTTACATTTGTTGGGTTATATCATATTGACGATAAACGTTATTAAATGTAACCTGATTTGCCAACTTACTTACGCCTTAGAATATCGGAGATTGGGATCTGGATCTGGGGAACAAATACTAATAAATATATATGTAAAAAAAAATACCTCTCTATTGATATATGGCAACGATGGTAATATACGAAATAGTGCACAGATAATAACTCATTACAGTTGTAATTGTCTTCTCCTTTGGGTAGTAACACACGTATCCGCAACGTATTTCATTCAGTCGTGGTTACGTAGTGCGTGTTGATGGTACGGGTTGCCTAGCTAAATAAAAATCGTCAGGGTGAGCAACTGTGCACAGAAGAGTAACTTATCCTAAAAACAAATCTTGTAAGAATTTGTCATAAACGTAATCTTGCTATTCGTTCATTGCCAGTTAATTTTCATAAGATCATTCAGCTTATCTCATCTAATAACGATATTCGGTGACAAAATAAAAAAGCGGGACCGAAAGGTCAGGATCCCCGTCATTAGGTAAGTTTCAATTGGCTGACGAATTTCGTTGTTCGAAGCAGTGACAGCATTAACTTTCGGTATAACTGCACAATTTCTGACAGCGCAAAGTGGTGAATGCTAAGGCACGACCAACGTGCTGAAAAATGCGTGAACCTAGCTCGTACGTTCATTGAATCTTGAGTGAGCGTAAAGTGATACTTCCTACCATTGACAGCCACTAGCAACTGATCAAGCCGTATCGCGAGATGCTTGAGTTCTCGCTTTGAGGACTTCTGCAAAAAAAAAAAAATGAGGTTTCCAACTCTGTTTTCAGAACTACATGGTGTCGTATCCGCAGATGTTACACCGATGCGGCCCTCGCCATTCCTCGAACTTTTCATATGTTTGAGTTGCCAACGAGCAGGATCTCATTTCTCTGTTTGTTCTTCCAATCGCATTTTCTCTGCCTCGCGTACCATCCTTGACTGCTTATCACCAAGGGCCTTGTTGCACATATGTCACATTGATAAATCCGGGCAGCATTACTATGAATAAAGCGTTGCGTCTGGGGCCCTAAAGCTACCTTTTCGGTCATTAGATAGCATCTTATTAAAGGCTTTTCAGACACGGAACGCGCTGCTCCGCGCGTTCATATCTAGCGACCACTAAGCTGGTATGCAGAGCGTCTTTCACAAAACTGATATTTTTTACGTTGCTCCTGACGACTAGGAATTACCATCTAAAGCATCGCAGGTCGTTAAACAAGCATCAGAACGCATAGCTGGAAAAGCAGGTCAGTTCTTGCGTTCTAAACGGCGATTGAATAACGAACGGATGCTCGACTCGTCGCGAATATCTGGCCAGACATCATGGTCCTATCTAGGATCCTATAATTTAGGTTGAGCATGACTTAACAGAACCATTCAATAAGGCTAGCCGAGATGTTCGAACGAAGAACAGATACCTAACCTAACCTAACCTTCGCAAACATAACATACTTCACTATGAGTTTCACTATGAAAAGCTTTCAGAGCATCTGGAACACCACGAATTCACAGAAGCTGTATAAGGTGGTAGGTGGAATCTTTTTTTGGTAAGTACATTCGGCCTTGAACAACGAAGGAGGAAATCTATTTGGGCAATTTTACGAGCCTTGCAAATTAAATTAAAAGTGATAGCATCGCACAGTTAAAACTAGTATTTACGACAACGGTCATGCATTGTTGTCGTATCGAAATCGTTTGAGTCTTTGCGCACGGTAACTACGTCAGCGGATTCCAAGCACCGAAACGCTGTGCAGGTGCTGCATTTCATGGCTACCTGGAAGACAGCTTCCTCAAGGCAGAACACTGCATAGTAAATAAAAAGTGGAGTATAACGGAACCGTTACAACACTATTACTTCGAAAAATAAAGCTCGCTGAAATCAGCGACACTGTCGGAAGTCAGTGAATCAATCAATGAGACAGTTCCTCGAATTTGCGGGAAAAACATTAGAGGCGTAATGGTAATAGTAGAGAGGGGTGATGCAGTAATCGTTTGGCAGTAACCTCAAATGCATATTTTCTTTCTTTGTTCCTGACACGGCTCTGTTAGAAGCCATTGGACATCATTCGTTTGTGTTGTACTTCACACGGAGCAAATAACACACCCACACACACCTCTAGTGGCATTATTGCCGTATACCCCCGATTCATCGCTTGACGCGCTGCTATTTTAGCTCGTAGCTATTTAACTCTTTCTAACGACATCTGTATGTCTGGTCCCCCTCTAACGAGGGACCAGACATACAGTTTTCTTCGTTGCTTTTGAGGAAGAGGAGTTGTCGCGAATAGAACAAAGCTAGGTAGGACGTTCTGAAATAGCGCCAGCATCAGCGCTCGGCTTATTTCGGTTTATTCGATATATAGCGGTAAAGCGAGACGAACAACGTAGTCTCCGTTACCGTAAACAGCGAGCGATTTTTGTTTCATTCGAACCAGTGGACGTTACAAGCAATTGTTAAGGCAAAGGACTGTAATGTTTGGCATCGCCGGCACCAAGATCGAACCTCTGACGTATGTTTCTCGATTAGTTTAGAAAATGTTTACTAGACGGAACTCGCTTCAGCCGCCCTTGTCCCGTCTAGTGAAGACAGTACGTATCGGTTTATATTAAGCTCATACCCGTTTTCGTCAGCGCAGTCCGGTTGGCTGCATGATAAAATCGGGTCGAGCAAGTATCAGAAATCCTACAACTAGCTTATAGCTAGGTGTCATGGACACTCCAAATCTATCCGCAATCACTTGTTTGCGTAACATTTTGGAGGCGTCGCTGACGACTGGCGTCCAACTCCTCCATCAAGCACATGGGTGCACAATGCTGCTAGTGATAAGCTTTCGTTTCTTTATTGTACAGAAAGCAGTGAACATTGTTGTGGTAAGCGGAAGACGTGTGCCAATACCGAGATAATGATCCTAGCGGATTATTCTACGCTTTTGCTAAATCGAAGGCAATCATCTCTGTGCGGTTGGTCTTCCAGCGAAACTGCGGAGATAGATGGTCAGGGTCCACTGAAGACTTGACTGAAGATTAGTCATTTCCTCGGGTGATCAAAAGATGTTCGTAGATGCGCATAGGAGGAGATATAGGGGCCATTTAGCCCCCAAAGTACATTTGGCGTAGGTGTCTGACTCGCGTCTCACCTTGCGAGTGTTGCATTCTACGCAAAATAGCTGTCTGATAGTTACACGTTTGTTTAATCGTGTACATGTCAACTAGAAAAATATGTTGACGGTTTATTAATTCCGTCTGTCATTGCAAAGAAACATTTAATGAATGAGTTTATGAAATTGACAGAAAATTTCAACAGATATGTGATTTGTTTATTTCGTTAGATCAGCGGCAAATAATAGTTATAGCTAGTATATATTTGTGCTGGTAGATGGCACAATGACAACAAAATTTCTCCCTGCACACTTGAACGATCTACCATATTTTTATTCTATTTTATTTATAATCAATAGCTGCTATGGGAAAACGCATCGACAGGAGACTGTGAAAGCTTATTAACAGGTAGGTATATCTGACCTAAACACGATCTTAGTTAAGTAGCTAATTAACTACTTTTCTTATTATATTATATTACTACTATTATATTGTCGTCTTCACCGTAAGCGACACACGAAATGTCATCGGCACTGACGCCGCAAATAGATAAAACTGACTCTTTTTTCTGCTACGGACCACGACTGCAGATATTGCTCACTAATTAACACGCACCTTAGGTCCACATATGATACACTCCTAGAAAATAGTGGGAATTTTATTTTAGGTTGTTTTGCAGGTGTCTGCGTTTTGAAAATCAACCCATTGTACAGGTATCCTTTTTAGTTAATATACTGTGGTATCGGCTGTCGTCGGGACCTTATCTGGGTCTATAGTGACGGAAACTACAAAATGAATAATACACTGCCAAGAAGTTGGACCCTTGCATGAATGAGCCTGTACAACTGAGGTTGTTATGTGCCTGCCTTAGGCTGACAGAGGCAATGGAGCACTACTTCGGTTGTAGGTTCGACTGCGGACGACCAGCCAGTGCAGAAGCCAGTCAAGCAATGGCCAACTGATAGAGGTTGACGACGCAAATAACGTTCGGTCTATTGAAACTCCTGCTAAGGCTGATTCTGCTGTGGTGAAAGGATTAGTCTGAAACGGAACGATAACAAAGGTTTCACTCGGGTTTTGTCAGGACATCCAAAGAGATGATCATTGTGTCAGACAGGATTGATAATCTCGAGCACTTGAGCCCAACCCAGCGTTAGATCCGCGACTGCATCAATTGACAGAAAAGCAGCCAAACTGCAACACAAAGAAATTAAAGTGGCTGACAGAAGCACGTTGTGAAGATCACAATATCTCGTTGATCGCTATAGTTGTCGACGGCAAACAAACAATAACAATCTGAAGAAACTAATATGGTTCCGAATGTAAAAGCTTCACAAGGACAGACGCAAATGGTCGATACCGTTGTGTTTAACGACACTTAGAAAACAAAAAGAATAGGGAAGGCGACTTTTAAACAACCGGGGCAATTTTCGAGTAAAGCTTAACTTCGCGATAATTCGCCCAAACTAAACTTTTCTCTTCTTCTATATTGGGGGGTTTGGGAATATGTAACGCACGTGTTTTATTAGCGGCTGACGGTGCCTAGTGTGTGGCTATCAGGTTCACCATAGATCTTAGATTCTCCCAGTCCCCCTAAAGGTCGAAACTGTGTTAGCATTTTTGCATTGGAGGATAAGTCGTCTGCTTATCTTTTAGATATTACCTTTACATTGACTCTTCTTGTGCGTTTTATCGATCCTTGTAGTCACGAAGTCTTTTCGAACCGATTCGAATTCCTGACGAGGTGCATCGAAAACATGGGGGTCTAGCTTCTCGGTTGATCTTACTGTTCAGCCACGAACAATATGCCCGCCTTGTTCAGGTCACAGAGAACGCAAATATCATTTTTTATCTCACCAGTCTTTGCCTTCTACTATTAGAATAACCCCTTTCCGGACAGCGCCTCGATTGCCTTGTGCCTCAGCTTTCCAGCCGATCCTAGCTACACCCGGAAATCTGGTTTCGGGTTTTTAGATCATTTCCTACTTTTCCCCCGACCCGACCGTCCCTTATTCCTCCTTATTCCAGGTATCGACAGATGTTATGCTAGTCGTAATTAGGTCCATGTTATCATTTAAGAATTGTTACAACAACGATATTTTAGCAGTCATAAAGCTTTCACTGCAATCTTTCTTTTTCTAGCTTTTAGTAAAAATAATTCTGCATGCCCAACAACCCAGTTAAGTTTATGATGGCTTGTTAGCTACGCCGACATTTTGCATGATCATGCGCGCTGCGACGCGGGCCCCGTCGGCGCAATCGGCTAAGTCAGTTTCATCTCAATGGAATACATTTACGGGGTCTGTACATTGGCAGAAAAACGCGTTCGTAGTTCGATTCCGATAGTCTATGCAGTCCGTGGAACAGATACTAAGTTCCTCCTAAAAATATAGTTTAATATGCTTCCAGTGTTTTGTATATAGTTAGTAACTTTTGATAGGTTAACAATTTACTAGACATAGCCTGCAAGTTAAGATAATAATACGTAAGGATGATAATAATCTCCATTACCCTCGAATGTGTACTCGAATGGAACTATTCTGATAAGAACTTCGGTTTATTTGTGGTTTCGTGTATATATATATTGTATATATATATCTCGTGGAATATTTTCCTAATGGCAACGGTCGACTCGAGCCGATTTTGACAGCACTTCTATAAAAGACTTGGACTGTTACTCGGTTTAGTATAATTTATCTCATTGTTCAATTAAAAAAGCTGCCGTTTAATGCCGGCAGGAGGTGTTGACAAAACTTCATATTGGCTACCCTAAATAGCTGTTGTTACTAAGGCCATACGTAACAACAGCTATGTCAATTTCGAAAAAAAAGCTGTCACTGATATTCGCTTTTCGAACCCTAACGTCAGTAGAATTATGCGGGTTGGGATTTACGTTAAGAAAACAGCGATGTTACTGTAACAACCCTGTCTTACAAAATTTTCGGTGTCTGTCAGTAGTTAATTAACTTCGATATAGAATTTAGCCATTAGGTCCTCCGCTAGTTCCTTCGTATGGAGACTGCTAAGGTCGGCTGTAGCGTTTGGACAGTGTAGCCAAATTGCTACCCAAATTGGAAAGCCTAATCTCTATATAATATATGTTTATATATGTAATTACTAATCTATGAGATGGTTCTGGTTGATTACAAATAACCACACAAGCACTAACATATATAGGGAAACTTTATTGGGGTTAAAAAATCTGCTAAGCTTTGTTAAGGACCTTGATCAGAGGGAAACATGTTCGCATATAAAAGTATGTAATTTACTAATAGTACTTTGACGCTTCAATGGGCTATATACTCATTAGTTTGTTGTATTGTTTTGTCCATGTCGTTGAGAGCACTGTATCTACCACTCCAATTCAACGACAACGCCTTCCTTCGCGGATTTCTCGCAGGCCGAAGCGATTTTTGTTACGGCGAGAACGTCGTCCTGCAATACCTCTGGCTTCGCGCGACCGCTGACAAGATTTAGGAAATATTCGAGTTCCATTTCATACGCCTCCTGATATCTGAGAGAAAAAAAATAATGCTAAGAGTCGATCATTGTCCGTAGATTTTAGTCTAGCGCGCATGGCGGATCCATTGGAGTCGAGCGTTCGTCAGGGTTATCCCGTTTGACAAATACCCTATGAATCCTCGACAGCTTCTAGAGGTAATACTAGCTGGAGAATTAGCCAAGTGCAGAGAACGCAGAAGTATCAGGCGAAATGGCCTCAAAATCAAATGATTCAAACTCGTAGTGGTCACGAAGTTCCCTATTTGACAATGGCTAGTAGTTTTTGAGAGCAGAGTTGCAATTTATTCGTGCCCACCTAATGGTTTATGTTATGATTTATAGTTAGTTTAACTGTTTTATTTGCTTGATTATATAGATGCACGGCAACAAATATAACTGAGAATGATGTACGCTGCAATGGCTTGTGTCTAACCTAGCCTAACCTAACCTAAGCTTGCAAACTCGCGCAAGCGTATATACCTTGAGGGGAAGGAATACAGGATAGGGTCCTGACTTGAGGCATCAGGTGTCCATGCAAATACGCCGTTCGGTCTGTGATTGGCGTTCTGTAACATTCCTTTACTGCCAAATACCTGTAGTAGATAAAGCGTCATCATCGTTTATAGCTCAGCATCCCCTTTAATTCAATATAACACACCGAATATGAAATAGAACCATACAAAAATGTCAGTAACGTATAAAAATATCGAGTGTGTCACGAGCACGCCCACTTAATTAATACAATTACATACGATAACTTCGTAAGTTCAGCCGACTATTAGTATTGACCAATTGGATAGCAAGTGTCGATAGAAAGAAATATTTATAATTTTCTTGTACTATCACAAAGTTAAGGTTTTCTATTGGAGGCTTAGGTTTAACAGTCGTTCAATGTGCGGCATCGTTAACGATACGGTACGTATAAGCCGCCTGGGTATTCAAAATCAGTAAAATACAATAAGGAATTGACTTCATAGTTCAACGAACTTCGCATCTCTGATCGTATCCATAACATGCATTACGGCTCAGATCAATCGTAGCAAGCTTTCCGGATCCGAATTGAAAGCAAATAACGACATTGTCAAAATCCTTGCCACGCAACTCTTCAAGAGTAGGTGAGAGCAGCGAACCGAAGACCTAAAACGAAAAGTGTACGAAAGTTATATATGCATATTTGAGTTGAGGTTCAAGCTGTTGACTATCAATAAACAAACAACGACTGATTAATAAATTCTTCGGATCTCATTTCCGCTGTGAGGCATTGTTTCATACGTCACATAAGTTCCCGTCATAAAGCAGCAATAACTTGCTTGCTTACTGAACTTGAAACGTGTTTCGTGTTTTACGTTTGCCACTTGGGCTGTTAGACATTATTATTTCAGACGGATGGCTTCCAGCATGAAGTGATCCGTCTTGGACCGGTTTTGAAACCACCACGCGTCCCTAAGTTCAGCAGGCAAACACGGTATCCACTGCGCTATCACGAAGGCAAAGCCTATTTAGTTTGGGGACTGGTACACCCAAGTGAAGGCACATTTAGTTTTGTACGGGGGAAGGTGGACCGTTTGAAACAACGCTTAACGGCGATATGGGACGTAAAACTTAAAACTATTTATTTCAACTTTTAAGGAATTAGATGAAGACAACAACACATCTTGGTCGACGTGGCCTAACCGAAGAAGAAAGCAAGAACTAGAGACCTAGGCATACGCTAGCTTTTTTTTTTTGAGCAGCACCGTGTACCTGCACACGCGTCGGTTTTTCAGCTAACAGCCAACAAACCACATCGATGTCGTGAACAGCACAATCGTGGAAGATTCCGCCTAATGATACAAGCCAAACAGAATATTTACAAAAACACATATAGCAGCATACTTGTCATCGGACCAGCTGCGCTGCTCAGTAAAGCTATCAATGTCATTGGCCCTATGCATCTCGTGCAAAACGTACGTAAGCTAAGATTCACATTGAAACCTGGCGCCGCCTGAGCGTCGAATACTGCGATAGTTCGGCCGGACTCAAAACTCGTACTTACCTTCAATGCACGTCAGACTATCGGCATGGGAAGAAAACACTAATAGAGGGGAAACTATACAAATACCCTTCAAAATATACTTCATATTTGACGATTCGTTATTTCGTATACCGGCTCAAAGACGCCAGCTTTATCAAAAGCTCAAGGGTGGAACTGATGACGCTTACTACCGAGTTCCCGTCACTGGAACCCCTAACGATAACTGGTTAAGGCTAAAGCAGCAGGTTATCAACACGTGTATAGTCATGTACATGATTCTAGGTATTGGCTTTTGATCCGGGTTTTGTCAAAGGCATAATTATGCAATCGGCTATACGGATAATGCCTTAACCTGTTCCTCAAAGCCAGTCTGTCATCTCTGTTTTTCCTATACATAAGGCATTTTTGCAGGTTCGCTACGAAAATGACACTGAATCCTCAAAAATATATCACCCTTATTTTATTTGACGTTATTTCAGTGTCATCAGAGATGTAAATCTGTTTTAGTACATACGCTATAGTTTTCTTCAGTGCTTAGTGAAGTCGCGGATCTTTTTTGCCCTCTCATACCGCTTCGCTTTCCTGAGATAGTTGACCTATTTTTACTACCTTCGATTTGCCATCTGCCGCATAAATGATGAATTAGATTTGTAGTCAACGCCAATTACGAGAAAGAAATGACAATTCAGTGCTACCCAAGGCTCACACATTTGTTGCACAAAGGCCCATATCATTATTGCCTATTCATATGAGTATTGTTATTACTAGGGTGTCACCTGAAGTAAGAAGGTAGCCGATGCTTGGCATGGGCGAATCGCGAGAAGTTGTTTTTACTAGAAACAGATCTCCGAGTTCTCCATTGACTACCTTGTTTTTGATCTTACGTAGACCTGGATCGTATCTGTAACGGAGAAGCCGTTAAAGCACAAAGTAAACAATGGGCTAGCGGCGATACAATAGAGGATACCTTTATACGCAATACACATCTTTCATACTCTGCTATGACTTTTCATCGGTCATTGCGAGTGCAAACGAATGCAACTATACTTGACGATGGTAGCAGTGAAACCTGTTTTTTATCTGAAGTATCAGGGTTGGTGAAGCAATCTCAGAAACGCTAATTGCTATAGCAAATCTGACGTTACCAATCTATGAATCTATACTACATTACTTCGGCTAAACTGAAGCATTTTAAGGACGAGGTCAACAATAGTCTATGTTATATACCATGTAATCGCTGCGCGTAGTTAAGCGTAAAGCCTCTTTATGTAGCGTTTATGATTGATGATAAAGAAGAAATCCTAGCTTGTTATTGCGGCCATTTGTGTTAATGATATAAATAGTACAAGCACCACCAAACGTCGATAAATGAAGTTCGCTATCCACTATGATCAGACTATTTACATGTGATCAGTCTTAAATAGAATAACTTTATGGAGTCCGATCGAAAATTGCGAACAGGTCACAATTAATCAAGAGAAGTCAGTCAGACCTCCCATGCGTTCTGTTTTTTTAGCGGACGGCCAGTCCGCTAATTTCGTCCTGTTATAGAGAAATAAATTCGATGTACACATTTACATGGATTGTCCTATTACCTTCGGTTGAAGGCGCAGAACAGGTGCACTCCATGCTTTTTGGCTTGCTCGTAACATTCACGTACGGACTCATTGCTCTCCGCCACGGGCTTTTCACAAAACACGTGTTTACCTGCACAATACGTGTACGGGCGAAAGAATGGACAAAATCAAGTGTACAGATCTCCAGTAACACCAAAAACATCTGATCAGTTCAGAGCGTATTCGTCATTGTTATATACGGTCTATGTACACGGACGAATGAAGATGCCGAATATCTACACCGTTTTACTTACCTGCTCCTAGTGCTTTACAAACGATATCCTTATGGGTAAATGTTGGCGTACAAACAATAACTGCGTTCACGCTGTAAAAGAATCGAAATACAATACGCTACGGCTATTTATCTAGTCGTATCATGAAACATCAGAAGATCTAGGTAGAAAAACATTTCGCTAGGTGAAGTCTATCTGGGTCATATCAATTTAATGACAACGCCATTAAGAAGAGTTTGGCTGGTTAACGTTGGCAGCTTAACTGTCTACTTACTTCATTTGATTGCAAATTATATCCTGTTTGATTCGGAACTCTTTTACCTTGAAAACAATCTCGTTTCAGAAGTAACTATATTGAAACACTGTTTAGGGCTAGGCACACAGGATTCCTCCGTAATCTTTAACGTCTGCTTAAGACGTGTCTGTCTGTCTATCTGGTTTCAGGGACATACTTTGGGTCAGATAGAAGTTTTCCGCAATCGGTAGAATGAATAAACTGCGCGTCAGGCAGCTTGTGACGGTACTTAGCTTCGATCGATCGCCTACGTTCCTCAGAGTCTTCAACAATGTAATGCAGATGGGAACGTACACAAGATAGAATATTCTGCGGAAGGACACGAAAAAGAAAAATTATACTTCGTAAGTTGAATTCATGAATGGTCGCAAAAAAAAAGTTGTCACAGCGCAAAAGGTGCCGGGTCCAGTTTAACTTCCAGCATCGTGAGCTTTTCTTACGTTCACATATTTGTATACAGCACTGTAGCCTCTCACCTAGGATTAATCAGCCGAAGACTTAATAATACTGGAAACCTAGGATATGAATCGAACGTTAAGATAGGAAAAAGTGTGAGTCAAATAGGTAAATCTGGAAAATTCACACATAAATCTCTTCAATTACAGGCAAGACGTCTAGACGAGGGGGATTAGACGCGGACGTCCCGACAATTTAATACAGTAAGTATCGGCTACAATAACAATATTGTTAACTGCAGACTCGGGCTCTCCGGAGTAAAGCTCAAAGGAAAGCGGTGCTCTAGCCGGCAACCAAGTTCAGACAAGCTCCGATAAAGCAAGCCCAATTGCTGAGGGAGTACTGCACTATGCCGAAAACAAATATAACAGCTTCTTAGTGCTATGCATAACATATTAAATCGGATGCGTTGTTATTACCAGAAAAATCATGTGGGTGAGAGGAATGAAATCATAGATAGATGAGACTGGATCTTGTTAAATCGAATCAGTCAAATGATTATAAGTATAAATGAAAACTTTTGGGCGGATCTTTGAAGTTAACGAAAAATCATAATATAGCTTATACGATTATCGTATTGCGAAACAGCAAGGATAGGACTGGGGCACTCCCACTCCGCATGCCAGGTACGCACCATTCAAGAGCTTATATGTTTACCTAAAATGCGCCAGTACAGAGTAAATATACAAAACAGAAACGCGGTTAATTCTAATGAGCCAAGTCCCAAATACTGATGCTCTTATGTCTAGATTCGTTGAATCTAGAGACGAAAATAACACCCTGTCCAAGGGAAACGATGTTATTAGCTGTAACTGATATATGAACACATATTTCACACCCTTAATTCCTACCTGCGTCCTTTTCTGGATGCCTTCTTCGATCTGCCTGCCATTTAAACATTATAGCTGATCGGCTATTGGATACGTATATATTTTGTATAATCTATTGTTTTGTCACCAACTATTTACCCTTCGCTTATCGTAGGACCTAATCAATATATAAAGTATTAGAACATAAATCTAATGAATTTAAGGCATCATTACATTGCAGTCTGCGAATAGATTCCAGAACCGAAATCACAAGAATGTACACTAGCGTTCTAATTTCCCGAAAAATTACTAAAGTACAACAACGAACCTACGGTATGCAGGTTCGATTTGTAACTATTTTGTGGTATATAAACAATAGAATTTATTAGATTTCTTGGTAAGGTCAATAGTTTTTGTATGTATATATATACAAATGCAATAGTTTAGAAAGCTGCAAAGCCTGTCTCATCCTACACGGATCTTCTATGCGAATTGAAACTGCTAGAACAGATCAAAGCTATAAATATATATCCAGGCATACAGACCCAATGGGTTCTGAAACTCCGAAGGCCATTAGGAGATAGATAGTCAGTCATAGATGTGGTTAATAGAAAAAAATGCTCAGCCAATGCATTGTTTAGAGGCCGATGGGTTTAGCTCGGGAAGTGTCCAATTTACAAAGACGCGCCAATGAGCGTCACGAAATCTGACAAATAAAGCAACGCAGGCTACTGTAGAAACGATGGTAAAACACTGATGCGATCTCCTCTAATCAGATGTAGATAAAGATAAATACAAATGAAGAACTACCGTCAACCTCCCATGTGCGAATGGGAAGGTATGGAAGATCGTAAGATACAAAAGTATGTTTTTTGATATCGTGAAACGAGACACCTGCTATGATATGGCAGCTCCTCAAAAGCAGACAAAAGAAGACTGACTATATGTATGTCTCAGTGTATCGTGTTGCCTAGTGGAGTACACACACGTGCTGTTTCTTCCGCAAAACGGCTTTCACTATTGCAAGCCATTGACGTTTCCGCGTTAATCTAGCGGCCGGTCGGCCAACTTGCTTGCTTCATTGCACGCACGTTTAGCGTCCGAGTTGACCTATATATTTCGATTTAGGTTCAGCGAAAAAAGAAAAACGCTCGCTAATCAACTACGTACGAGCAGGTAGCCGCTAGAAACGAACGGGAAAATGTTTTGCATAGGTAATGTTCGGCATGACTTTATATCTAGCGTGCGCTTCTATAGGATCTGTTATCTTGATTCGTTTCCTCCGTCAGGCGATGACGACTGAAGAAGAGGAAACTTCGTTGCGGTTATGCTATGGATCACGCGCGGGTGGATGTAGCTATTTTGTACGTAAGCTAAAACGCCACCAAAACTTGTTAATTGTTGGGAAAACATATATTTTTTGCTCTAAATGGCTGTAATCCTATTAAGTGAGATATTTACGAGAACAGTTTTCGCTCTTACCTGCAACTGTATGGTACCGGCCCTCCCGAGACCGAAAAGTGCCAACCCGATCTCACCATCGAATTTACCATCCGTTGAGAGGTAGCTCAAAAACCTATAATAAAAACACGAATAGAATTCTTCGTAGGAACCGGCAAACGATGAATATTTGATGATTCTGCTTTGCAAAATGCACATTCAGTAAAATTTACGACGGTAAAGTATAATGCAAATGCTGTAGTTGCCCCCAAATGATGCACGAGGGCAAAAGTTAGCTCTGTGAGCTCTAAATTTGATCGTTTTTCACAAAGATCACCTCGCAGAGTAAACACATCGAGTAAAAATGGGTTGTATGAAAAGCGCACGCTAACAATAAAGTCAAGTAAAACATTACCTAGCAAAATGCATAGATCCATTTACTTGCCTGGACAATCTCATGTGTTCTCCTAACAACAACAATATGTCACCCTTTTATGACGTCCAACACCTCTAGCTCGGAAGAAACGCGTCTCCACTTAACCAGTGTCAATTCTCATTAATTACATACAAAAAGCAGATCAACGTGCCTTACAACAGGTCCCCGCTGGCGGTTTTGTCACAGTTCAGATAAATAATGGGCACTCAACAATTTCCATAGCACGTATTTCAGACCCATTAAGACGTGAAGGAGTTAGATAAAAAGCACCATCTATACGTGTACGTCCCATGACCTGCTACGCGATAGCGTCTAATTAAACAACTTCGAGCAAATAAAATGAATGTCAAAAAGATGGTCCGCGCATAAGTCTCGCACTTTGATAATTCCTTGGACAAACAGGACTAGAAGGCAGGTTCCCTCTGCTAAAGATGAAGTACCGATTGACTCTGTGCGTTATTGATTGGCGATTAAAACTTGTTTGCGGGGGTTCCTAGCTCTCTTATCCGTCGCCGATTTTATTCACTTATTTACAGATAGTTACAAGAAGAAACGAGATCTTCTTCTATCAGTTGTTGGCCTTTGAAATCATCCAGACTGAAAGCGCTTAGATCGACAGCAGTGACTGCCGATTACCGTAGGGCCTCCTCCCCTCATGCAATCTAATCAAAACGCCCAGCTTCAACACTTTAAAGCAACTCAAAAATGCCGCGCTAACGAAATCAGCTAAATTTCGAACCTAGCAAGTAGAAAGATGACTTCGATTTGTGAGAGATAGGAAAAAACACTATCGATTTTGTCGAAACGTATCGTTGTTGACGGCGTTTGGCGTCGTCTATTAATTATTAGCGCTTTCTCGTTCTAAACAAACCATTCACTTGTACAGAATATGAACAATCAATGCCTTATTGTGAGCTATGCTTTAGAGCAGGCGTTTTATTATTGGTTTTGTTATTAGTTCCCTCAGAGTCCTTGGAGTTCCTCAGCTAAAACAGGTCGAAACATAGAACCGGCTGTTTTTACAATGGTGATCTTGTTCTGAATATATAATTATTTATTGTCAGCAAGCTGATAGGGTCGAGACAGCCAGTTATCACTATTACTGCACGGTACCACAAAAAAAAGTTGCTCTAACTACGATACATGCTACGATATATAATAATAAATATTAACTTAGTTGCAAACAGCGTCCTCTACAAACTACCCTTATTATCCGATCATTCGAGATGGCATATCGGACCGAGAGACGCGTGAATGGATTAGAGAATATTAAAAGGTATTTGGTTAAGTGATTGGATATGAGACGTGTTTTTTAATATTTGGCGGCCCCAATATATATTCCCTGTTAAACAATTGCGTGTCTTTCCACAATACGCTTTGTAGCCATTGCTATAATCAGGAAGCGCTGCTTTCACTTGACTGTTGCGCAGGAAGCAAGAGATTCCTGCTAATCGCAACGTATCCGCAGCTGCGGGATCGAAAACTGGCATTCTACGGTGTACTACCCTTTTTTTTTGCAGACGACAACTCGTCTTTGGGAAAGGGCACAGTAATCTGTCTATCCAAATTGCTGTCAATAGTAATTATATTCGGGCTTACAAAGACTAAGCTGCTGCTAACAGTAATAACAATAACAACAACGTAAACTCTGTTTTTGTTTAACGATTTTGAACATACCGGTGATATTTTTTGTCATTCTCCATGCTGAACGTTAGAAAAACTAATTCTCTAAAGAACCAATTAGACGGTCAGCTGACATTCCCAGGACGCGGTTGTGATGTCCGACCGACGTTGGCTCGGCAGCACGACGGACTGTGGTTAAAAATTAGAACGCTCGTAGGTCTCCGGAACGGTGACACTGATCGGTGGGCACAATTGAACAAGCACTAAATGCACAATGCATATTCCATTTTAGCTTGACCGAACTGTCGTACGCACGAGTTCCAGGACGACAAGGTGGCCGCCAGTTGCGTTCTCTGGTTTTAAAGGAACCTCGATGAGAGCTGTCGCTCTCAAATATCAAGAGAGAAAGCAAGAACAAATGGTAAGCGCTGATCGGAAAGGGGGAGGCATGCAACGCACCAGGTAGATTACAACACGGCAACTGCCGTGGGAGTCGACCCGTTGATACGACCCAGAAGTGACTGAACAGACAGCTACAGCATCACGCTACCGTTGGCCACCGAGCTACGAAGGTGGACAGCCTCTACAGGCCTAGACAACAGTGGCGACATCAAGCGACACTGGTGCAATGCAATCGAAGTGCACCTGTTTTCTATCCTACACTTCGCACGGCAACGTTACTATTCCCGCTGGTACAAATTCAGTATTCGCCTGTCTTGCAGACTCTATACGAATCCAATCGGTTGGTCCTAGTTCTGTCCAACTGAAAATAAGTCACCAAATTGGCACCAAAGGGGTTGCCTCTCACAAGTCACAGTCGTTGGGAGTTGAACACGAAACACGTCCTCGAGGTTCTAATTGAACATGTTTTATGATTTTCGATTAAAAGCGAAATGGTAACCACATTTTTTGTGACTTCAGCTACAAGCTGATTTCTCATTGTCGACGAATTTTCACATGTGACAGACAGTTGGCAATGCAGATCTATTTCATGGAGTTCGTTCTTGGTTACGCGCGTTTTTGGACGCCGTTTTTTCTAGCTAATTAGAGCGAGAACATATGTGGCAAAATTTCGTTTACGCCCACTGAATCAAAACCAGGAGATTTTTATTAAGTTTGATTGATTTATGTGGAAGAAGCGATACCAAATGACAGCGGGTGTCAGACAAGACATTCGATGACAAGTAATTAGCTAGAGTTTGTATAGTCAAATGGTTCTGGTGTTAGGTCGCTTTGAGTCCTAGGAAAAGATATGGCCACAGCCTTTGTAAGAGACCAATCACTATCTCGTCTCTTGAGGGATCACTGTCAACAAATAACGCTGCTATGATAAGGCAACATGTACCACATTGTCCTGTTGACCGCCAGTTCATTTTAAACAAGCAGATTTTTTCCTGCCTGTTTGAAGAATATCGTCATCTTTGGCACAATCCGACGCATCACGAGTATCATTCCTCGTCATACTAAGGAAATACAATTCTGTGATTTCCCTGCCTATTTAATCAGCGGTTCGAAACCGACTCGATATTTAATATTTAAAATTCGCGCCCATCTCGAGGCACGAAACATCTTATCTTATATTTAAACGGATCGCTATCATCTTTTTGGCCACGCGTGAAAGCCCCTATCCTCATTATTATAATCAGTTTTTTAAATTATATGGATCTTCGCCTTTTTCTCTTTTTGTGATCAAGGAGGCCGCGAGGCTTAAAAACATCTGCGTAGCCTATGATTAATTGTAGGGGAACCAAGCAAAGCAAAGCAAAAATGTATAATGAACTGTGGGATGACATAGGATTTCTTCAACAGTATTTGTCGACTTCTTCTAATATGAGTGCGCTCTTATCTATAGTTTTTTTTCACTGGCGGCCATTGCCACCGCCGTCGCCGTATTTATTCGATAGAGCTAATGCCTGATTGTTCAGAGCCAGTCATTTACCTATGTGTACTTTATGTTAAATAGGCTAACATCTAGCACTTTAAAACTTGTCAAATTGGGGTATTCCTTCTGCCATGAGCGCTGGAGTCGCTGCAAAGATCCGTCCTAAAAACCTTGCTTTGGAATATGGCGTCCAGCGGAGTCGTGGGACTACCCGACCTTCCGGTAGAGATAGAACTGATCGCCCACGCGGATCAATTGCGATAAGGGTAACGGCACGTGGAGCAGAAAAATTGCCAAACCGCAGAAGCCAGATACTGGCTGAAATAGCTATCAGAGTGAGAGAGTGAAGTTTGACATTAGCGCCGACGAAGTCAGAGACAGTGCTTTTATTAAGCAGGAATAATATAGAAATTGAGATCGGAGATGAAAGTATGGAGCCTCCCCACATTGCTCTATACTTGGGAATCCAGCCAAGCGAAGCTCTGCGCGGTACAAAACACATAAACAACTTGGTAGCCAAAGCTGTGAAGTAATCAGCCTAACCAGCGGAAGTAATGCCAGACGTTTACGATCCTAGAAAAGGAAAGCGCATACTGCTGATAACGGTAGCGAAATCATTCGTCGAAGCCTCGCTCAGTGAATGCTGTTCTCTCCACACTGCTAAAGCATCTGTAAGGGACATCACCCCAAGCGTTAAGCGTTGGCTGAGGAGGCTGGAAAACAAACGATCATATTTAATATACGCAAGTGCTCGCAGGGTAATAGCAACATTACCTGCACGAAATAGAGAAGACTTCTTTGGGCACGCGCCTGATGTGCACGGACGGACTAGGGGAAGGCGCAATTCGCAGCTCGAGGCAATGCAAGGCGCTAAAGCACACTAAAAGGTCTTATGCACTCTATATGCACATGACGATGGGGCCTGGCATAGAAAAGAAAGGCTGGCAAGAAAAGCTCGTACTTCCCAGGGTCAGACTGAGCAGATATTGAGGGTAATGTTAACATGTGGGTTTCGTAAGCAAGACAGATCACCCCCCAACCCTGTCCGCCAGAGACAGCCTGTCTGTTGCAATAGGGAATTCAACCGAAATAATTCGGTGTCACATTAAAGTATCTCGATTGGTTAGGAGTGAAATTAAAGATCAGTGGGTAGTGATTTCGGCGAAACTAAGTTGAACCGTCCAATCAATCCAGGTTGAGCTCTACCCGGTTCACACAACAGAACATGTCTTAGATCCCTACGCTCGGTCGTAGGCGAACCGCATTACCCAAAACCCATGATTCAAAAAAAAATATGCACATACGGAAGTTCAACTACGTCTGTAATCCTAACGTAAACATGTATTATAAGTTACTTGAGAAGTCATTCGCATCGATTATCGTTAATGTTCTCTGCTATTGCCTGATTACATTACTATACGTTTTTAGGGCATTAATGGGGCGCACAGCTTTTGAAAAAACAATTCCACTCGATGCTACATCGTATTAAAAATGTCTTCACTATTATGCTGCAACATTTCTACAGTTCCCGACATACACAGAAAAATTTACTTGGACCAAATTGTTAAACAAAATTAACTTTAAGAATTTCGGTTTTTTTCTATCGCTTATGCGGTTCCCACACGCTTATGATTGACTAATCAGCTATTTCATGGAAACGTCTATTGAACTCCGCTTCGGAGCTCACTTTAACGTGCAGCGCCTAAGTACGTGCAAAACAAGCAACTTACTCTCGATAATACACTGTAACTATAAGTAAGTTCGCAATAATGGATCTGACCGAAACGAAAATCATTCGGCGGCAAAAAAACTATTACACTATGCACCTGTTTGATTGAAACCTAATTTCAATCGAGGTTTATCGAATATAGTATATATTATTTGTGCTGGCAAGATCGTAAACAGTGTTTTTTTTATTTCTACCATTCTATGTTGTGATGCATTTTTCCCTAGTCGTCTTAGACATGTATCGATCATAAACCATTAGAGATATCTAGTCTACCTCTGCGCACAAGTGGGCCGCACTTTGTGACGCACAAAACTGCTAAATAGAATGGGTCACGGTAAAAAAAATTCAGTTATAGGCTCTAGGGTCACGTGTATATAGGGTATACTGAAAAACGAAAGCAAAACACACAAAATATGCGTCTAAGGCAATGCTTAATGGGCTATAAAGCTCTATCATGTACGAGGCACAAAACAATGGTCTATATGTGTAATAATAACAACGTTCAGCACAACAATCAAATTTGGTTGTGTCATTGAATAGGATGTGACGAACATGCTAGCCC